GATTAGGGTGGTACATTAATCTGAATGGGTTTTCCCTCTGATTCCTGTTAACTCTAGTTTTGTTTTAGAGTTCCTTGTTATCACACTTGGTCAAATATCACCTTATTGTGAAGGACAGTCACCCTCCTATCCACTTTTGAGTTAAGCTCTTGTGTCCATGTTTGAATCAAAGCTGTAATGAGCTCAGGAACTGCGTCACTCTGGCAGAACCTAGGCTGAGCATCAATGAGGAGGTTATTGCTGTGTAAGTACTATTTGATAGCAATGTCCATGATACCTTTTATCACTTTACTGATGACTGTTGAATGATAACTGTTTCAGGGGCGACATTTGGCTGTGGATTCTTTTCGTGGAAAAGCATACCTGGGCAACTTTCCACGTTGTTGGGTAGATACAACTGTTGTAACTGTACGGCAAAACTTGGGTAGGGATGCACAAGTTTTCAGTACATTTGCCAGAATGTTATCAAGTCCGAATATCTTTGCAATAATACAGTGCCTTCAGCCGTTTATTTATGTTTATGTGGAGTGAATTGAAATAGCTGAAAACTGGCAGCTGTGATTACGGGGAGCTCAGCAGGAAACCGAGATGGATTATGTACTTGGCATGTCTGGCTAAAGATTACAAATACTTCAGTCTTGATAAACCAAGAGAGAGATAAAAGTTAGGTTGGGTGCTAATGAGAAAATGGGTGTGAAAATGTGTTGAAGGTTTGAAAATGGGTTGGCTCTGTTGGGGGGCAGCGCATACAGGACATATCATAGAATCCCTACAGTGCAGAAACGGGCCCTTCGGTCCAACAAGTCCACACCGAACCTCAGAGCATCCCACCCAGACCCACACCCCATAACCCACCCAATCTACACATCCCTGACACTTTGGGCAAATAATCATGGCCAATTCACCTAACCTGCACATCTTTGGACTGTGGGAGGAAACTACAGCACCCATAAAAAACCCACGCAGACACGGGGAGAATGTGCAAACTCCACACAGACAGTTGCCCGACGCTGGAATCAAACCCGGGTTACTGGCGCTGTGAGGCAGCAGTGCTAACCACTGAGCCAATGTGCTGTCCAATAAACATTGAGGAGAGAAAAAACAAAGAATTGTGGATGCTGGAAATCTTAAACAAAAATAGAAATGTCTGGAGAAACCTAACAGATCTGGCAGCATCTGTGGATAGCAAGCAGAATCGAAGTTTAAGTCCAGTACCACTTCTTCAGAACACAGAGGAGTAAGTTTGCTTTCTGAAATTGTTCGAGAAAGTTCATGTTTTGAATTTGCTAACATCAATATTGAGTCCTGTGACCCTTCATCAGAATTGAAGATAGGATTTATAATCTGCAATCTCTTTATTTGCCTATCTGTTTTCTCCTTCTCTCTCTCACTTGCTGGGCACCATCTCCATAAACTATTCTACATCTTCCCACCCAACTCTCCCTCACCACACCTCACACACCCCCATCCCACAACTTCACCCCATCATCAGCAAAAATTTCAACCGTCCCTAGTTATCTTAAGTTCTGATGAAGGGTCACTGTACTGAAATGTTAACTCTGCTTTCTCTCCACAGATGCTGCCAGACTTGTGTTTCTCCAGCAATTTCTGTTTGTGTTTCAATTATTTTTAAGAATCCAGCATATTAGAGGCTTATATTCATTGTGAAAGCCATACTTTTCTGTGAAAGATGAATATTGAAATGTTTAAATAAGCATGATGCAATAGTGGGAGTCAGTGCAGATCACTGGGAAGACCATCTGGTGTGAAAAATGTACATTTTTTGAAGAAATTAAAAATGTTATTGACAGCAGGAGTTCTGTGGTGTCCTATATTTAGATACTGAATAATCTATTCTGAGGGAAGCAAATGGAATAGCAGGCAAGCTCTTGAGGCTAACTGAAAATTGACTAGAGCAAAAAAAGCAAAAGATTGATATGAGCAGAGTTGTGTTGACATGACACCAGGTCATTCACTCCTTTGCTGTTTACAGTTTTTAAAGATGATTTGGTACTGTGGGAGCAACAGAGCCACGTTTGCAAAAAGACACTGAATAGGAAGGAAGGATTCAGAAAATAGGAAACAAGCACATAAAATTTGCAAGGATTGGGATGAATAGAAAGATCACTGATGAGTGAAAAAATAAGATTTAATGTGCACAAATGCAAATGATTTAGGCTGCATACATTAGGAAAATAAACTGTGGAAATATAAACTAAATGGTTTTAGGCTATGAGAAACAACACTGAAAAATAGGGATTACACATTTAGGACAGAGACAAGGAGGAATTTCTTCCCTCAAATGGTAGTGAATCTGAAATTCTTTACTGCAGCGGACTGTTGAGGCTGGGTTATTAGTATATCCAAGGCTGAGTTGGGCAGATCTTAAACCAGTAGGCGAATGAAGGGTTATGGGGAAAAGGCAGGGGAATAGGAGTTGAGAATTGTCAGAACAGTCATGACCTCATTGAGTTATGGAGCAGACTTGATGGGCTGAATGGCCTACTTCTGTTCCTAAGTCTTTTGGTTTAGGAGCACTGAGGATATTGCTGGATAGCTTACTCAAATCAATATTGCAATCTGTAGTAATATTAACAAAAGCAAACAAAATTTTCAGACGTATAGTTATCAAGATAAAGTGTCAATCCCAGGAGGTAAAACACATAAAACTCTAGTACTGCCACACCTAGAGTATTGCATGTATTTTGTTCACTATACAGCAGCAATGATAACCAGGAGCTGATGGCAATGCAGCTAAAGGGTAACCAAAATGATAAACTACTTTAAGACATTTGTGCTATTATTTTAAGTTGAAGGATCTGGAAATTTTTCATGCGGAGAAGACAAGGCTCTACAGAAAAGACTCATATATTCAGTACAGCTGATTTACCACAAACTCTAGAACCAAGAGGCATGGCTACAAGTTTAAAAATTGAAAATATATGCAAACCGCTTAGAACTAAATAATTTATAATCACCACAGAATGGTCTGAGACTGGCGGTGAGAAAAAAACGAGGTAAGGCATTGGCACAGAAGCACTTAATACATCAAATAAATTAGTCTTCAGTAATATTGCCAGTTTGATGTTGAAATGGTTTGAGTAAGCATCAATATAAACTTGGGTCTAGGTCCTATTTTGAGATCAGGGCATATTAAATCAAACAGGCCCCTGTTTCACACAGGTTAGAGTTTGCATCAGCTGCACTATAATTCTTGATTGGTGCAAAATTGCTTCTAACATGAAAGGAGTATTTATAGAGTTAAGTAATACAAACATCACTACTCTCCTAAAATTAAAAAATGAACAGTCCTATCAGCAGAATTCTACAAATGTGCACAAAAAAAATGCTGAGTCCCTTTATGGTTCACTTTATTATGATCTGGACATTATATAATTGACAACACAACCCTGAGCTCGGGGGTAGGCAATCCAGACATTAATTTGGAATGACAACTTCAAAATAACTGCAGTCTTGGGGTGCGGTTAAACTGTCATTTTTGTATCACTATACAGCGGTTTCACTTGAGCTTGACATCCATTTGGACTATAATTCCAATTAAGTATTAAACAAGTTGTCGTAGCAGCAAGTTGGGCATTCTGTGCACAATGGAAACGTACGCAATTTTTTGCGCTTTGAGAAAGCAGATACCACCATCCGTTCTGCTAAACATATAAAAAAAATCTGCCAGCAAATTGCTGGGAGCTACCTCCCGCTAGCCATGACATAATTCTCAGTCAAGTAATATAATAGGGGTGTTACCAGTCGTAAATCGTAGACAGTGTTGACTTTGGCACAACATTAATGCAACATAGCAACTAACAGTTTTACAGTTTGCAGAGATGAAAGAATGGTACTGAAACAGTGCATTGCAGAGCTGGAGAAATGCAAGTGCAAAAATTAAGACAATCATTGACAAACTTGTTGATAAAGAAATTAAGATAACGAGTGTACGACAAATCAGGAGAGTTACCTGTGGGTCTTCCAGCGTCCCACCGTGCACTTTGCTCTGTTTAAAATAAGCAATTAAAGGGAACTCTTAACAATACCGATAAATGTTATTTAATTTCAGAATTCTTTTTAGGGTTCTCATTAGGCATTCATTCACTCTGTGCTTAGAAACAGGAGGAAAACAATTTCTAAGTTTTATAGCGTCTATTTTAGGAAACAGAGATGTTGATTTATATTCGCATAACATAAATGGTATAACAGAAAACAAGCATCGCCTATTTGTGTTAAAATATAAAATATTTTATTTTGTTAATAGACATAGTAAAATAATTATTTAAGACAAAACTGAGTGATTCACTTTGATAGCGGGACCTTAAAATTTGAAAATGTTATCCAAATTCGATGCTGAAATATTACGGAAGTTTAATCTCATGAAGAGTCGCCCAAAACTTATCATTCTTGTGGAAAAGATACCCTGGTTTACTGACACTTGGTTTATTGGCTTTGTGGAGCTAGGGTTTGGCCAAGCAACAAAGAAAGCAAAATAAACAAATGCTAAATACAAAAAAAACGGAATTTATCAAAGCGAACATTTAAAGTAAGGTTATAAAACTCGAGTCTTCAGTTTTACTCTTTGATAAAGACACTGCTTGATCCTTGCGGTATTCAAACGTGTCACACGAATTCTACCGATGTACTTTCAACTTTTCTATCCTTCCCATTAAAGTCTGCGCCTGCCTATTTGATTATTGCAGCATGACAAGTAATATTTACAAGCCTCAAATCACCATAACAACCAGCTTCGGCGCTGTCTCTGTCATTTGTTTGAAATTACGCCTTGATCAATTCGCAGCGGCAAATGGTTCAGAAGTTTATCAATTTAAAACTCCAGCGAGTAAAGACAACAAATTCCACTTACATCTTCAGTGGCGTTTCGGTAGAAAGGGTGAAGTGAAAACACATTTCATTCAAAAGTGTGACTGCAAGTCTGTGCTGGTAAGAGAATCCAGTTAATTCACTCTTACTGGGGAAGCCCATCGACACCTTACCTTAGCAGCGACCGAAGAGCCAGGTTTTTCCAGCAAATCCCACAACTTCCTCCTTTTATCCGGGCAGCAAGAGTTGTCAAACTCCTCGCCTTCTCTCTCCCTCATGGTCTCAGCCTCACGCCTCAGTTCCTCGTTCATTTGCTCCTTTTTCTGGTGGTACCTGGCTTGGCAGCAGGACTCCAAGTAGATCTCGTCAATCCCCCAGTAGTCAAGCTCCTGGCCGAAGGACAGGGCGCACATCTCCTCCATCATGTGCAGTTTTCCCGTGCGGTAGAAATTCAGAATCGACGTGAAAGCCCCCGGGTGCCGATCAAAAAAGTACTCGTTTTCGTCGAGGTTGTAATCATCGCAGGTTTCCAAGAGGGATTCGTGGGTGTTGCAATCCCTCAGTTTCCCCAGACGAGTCCGGGGTAATCTTTCCAATGTCCTCCACAAGACTTCGTGGTTAAGTCCCCCAACATTGATTCTCACCCTCCTTGAACAAGCCTTGCTCCTGATAATCTCCATGGGCTCCGGGGGAAGGGAGGTTGTGGATCGGGATGCTTTCTTAAGCATTGCTGTTGGGCTCCTTCCTGCCATAGCAGATCAATCCGGAGATTATTGTGCAAAACCAAAATCAAAATAGACGATCCTAAACAGAATGATGGCCAGAAATCAAGTTCTCGCGTGGGAATAAATCCAAAATGATCAATTATAAAGTACGCACGGGGTCCGCTCACACAGCTCCTAGCATTGTCGAAGCGACAAGGAAAAAACAACATGCGAGTGCTTGGTGTGTATTAATCTCCGGCGGACAGTCACTTTCATTCAGCGTGATCAGCCGCCGGCCAGCACTCAGCAGCTGTATGTGTGTGTGTGTGTGTGTGCGCGTGCGTAAGAGGGGGAGGGGGAAGCTGGACGGGGACGCGCCTGACTCGCCGCCCCTTGTCTTCCGTCCGCGCTCCCGGCCGCCTCACGTCGACGTCTGTCAACGGGCAGCCGCGTTCCCGCCATCCGTCGTCGCGCGCCACTCCTTGGAAGGCGCCCTTCCCCCGGCAGCCCCGGAGAACGCTCTTCCTCCTTCCCCCCGAGCGTGCTGTGCCCCGCCCTCATCACCCCGCAACGCACGCGCTCTTCCCCCACTCCTCCGCCTCGAGACTCTTAACGGTCGCACGGACGGTTGTCCGCCCGCTCTTCTCCCCCTCCCACATCCATACAAGTTTCCCTCTTGCCCATCTCCCCACGTCTCTACCTCCAACTCCCCCTCATCCTGCCAGGACCCCACACCCCAGTCCCACCTCCAACCCCTATCACCCTCATGCTCCACCCTCCTCCTCCATCCCTCACTTCCCCCCCCATCAGCCCTATCCTCCTCATGCCCCACTCCCCATCACCTCCAATCCTCCCAACTCCCACACCTCCGTCTCCCTCCTCTCCTCCCAGTCACATGCCTGGAGTGTGGAATGTAATGCAGAGAACATATTCATTTCATCTTGCTTATCCCAGGAGTGCGCACTATGCCGCCATACCCTGCCTCAAGATGCTTAATAGTCACACTGACAATTATTAAAACCCCTCCCCTATCCCCTCATCTGTGTCATCTCCCCCATCCCCACCCCTGTCTCATCCATCTCCTCCCCTCACCCCTTCTCCATTCTAATCCCCCAACACCCCCTCCTATCTCCACTCAATCCTACTCTCGCTTATTCTCCCCTCCTACCCCACACCTCCACTTTCCCCTTTCTCCTACACCTCTCCCCATCCCATCCTAAGTGTCGAGGAGGGGGGCAATAGTATTGTGAATGTGGTAAGTATGGAGAACAAAAACAAAGTTGTTGGAAAAACTCAGCAGGTCTGGCAGCATCAGTGAGGGAAAAAACAGAGTTAATGTTTCGGGTCCGGTGACCGTTCCCCAGAACTCAAGTATGGAGAATATGTTTATTTCATCTTGGACAGAAGTGGCTTGTGTGTCCATATGCTACAAAAATAAACATGGAGGTATTCTGCATTGGCAGAAACAAAGGGAAAACATCTTGGGAATGAACTGATCCATTGCATCAGCCGCCAGCCTCCAGCAGTCAATCTTCCTGGCCACAGGTTATCTGTCAGACTACCTGGTGAGTCTGATTGCTCAATTTGCAGAATTCAATCAGTGATGCTGGGCTGACTAGGCACATTGGCCCCCAGCAGTTGTGATCACTCAACCAGCAGAGCTGCAGCTGTTGCTGACCACAAGAGAGACCAAAGAAGGCAAGAGTCATAGTCAACTCCAAATGTTAATTCTTGCTTCTCTCTGCATGGATGTTGCCAAACTGTCCAAGTATTTCAAATTTCCACCATGTTCTGTTTTCAGTATTGTGGACCACAGCTTCTGCTGCTGTCCAGACTGTGGAAGGATTGCTCACAAATGTGTCTACAATGGATTTAATAGTGTTTAGGACAGAGGCCACCTCATGATGGAGGTGCATTTGTGCATTTGGGCATTGACACCACCCACCTCTGCCATTCGGCTGCTATCTTTGCAATGTTTTGCACCCACTGTTTGGCATGCCGCTTCAATGGCAGACCAAGGGCATCCTCTTTCTTCCTTCTGGATTTGAGTCAAGTATTCTGCAAATGTTAATGCCTTGAAATGTCCCTGACTCTGTTCTCAAAGCATGATGTGGAGTTGCCAGTGTTGGACTGGGTTGGACAAGGTCAGAAATCACATGACACTGGGTTATAGTCCCAACAGGTTTATTTGAAATTACAAGCCAGCCACATGTAAAAGGTGTGAGGCTGTGTTTTCAAATAAACCTGTTGGATTATAACTGGTGAAGTGTGATTTCTGACCTGTTTCAAAGGCTAAAATGTAAGCCAACTACTGTATTGGATCTGGCTGCTCAGTAGGCATCCAGAATGGGTAAACATTTGAAATTAGGATGTTGTAACACCTTTTTTTCTGATATTAAGTCCCAACTCCAAATTTGCCTCAGTAGTGCTATTTACTTACTTGCAAATTAGTTACTAAGTTGCCATTTGAGTTGGGTGATTAACATTTGAGTGCATTTTCGCTTGTTTTCTGACTGAAAACTTAATGTTGTCATCAGAGAGGTTTTTGAAAATGTTGCACTTTTTTGCTGCATTCTCCAGTTCTACTGGAGTCATGATGGAGCTCTGATGAAATGTCATCTCGACGCGAAACATTAGCTTGCTCCCTGTCTCCATGGATGCTGCTTGACCTGCTGTGATTACCAGCCTTTTTTGTTTTCAGTACACATTCCAGCATCTGCTGTAATTTGCTTCTACTGGAATCAGGAGTGGTCAAGTGGATCTGATTTTAAATGTGAGGAGAAGGCCAACAAAGTTGGAAGAAGATAGTATACGTTATCAGCATTCACTTCTGCATTAATATCACAGAGGAACAATGACTATGGTGCCTTTATATCATAAATTACACTGTGAGAAGTCATAACTCTTGCTGCTGCCACAATTTGTTCTCACAACAGGGAATCCATTAAATTGTACTTGTACCACATACAGGGTATTGCATTTTTTTGGTGGTGTTGTCATATTCCTTTTGAGCTGCAGCAGGTGATGTCTGCAATATTTCTGTTTACAGTCCATCCCTGTAACAAGCTGACTGAAGCTATCTACATAACAAGGAATATTTACATCTTGTGTCCCATGGACAGACCAAAGCATGATGATAGAGCATTAGGCTTTGCACGTATGGTCATTAGCTTCACTCACATTGTTTTGTATGCTTCCGATCATTGTGCTGACATTTTTGTTAATAACCTATGTCCAGCTTGTATGTTCATTCATGGGATGTGGATGTAGCTAACTGGGCCAGATTTTATTGCTCCCATCTCTAGTTGCCCTTAAGAAGGTGGTGGTGACCTGCTTTCTTGAACTGCTATCAGCATTTTATGCACATATAACCATGATGCTATTAGGCACCGAGTTCCAGGATTTTGACCCTGAAACACTGAAGGAATGGTGATATATTTCCAAGTCAGAATAATGACTGGCTTGGAGAGGAACTAGCAGATGGTGGTGGTCTCATGTATCTGTTGCCCTTGTCCTTCCCAATAATAGTGGTTGAGGGTTTGGAAGGTGCTATTTAAGGAGCCTTGGTGAATTTCTATTGTGCATCTTATAAGATGGTGCACACAGTTGCCAGTGAGTGTCAGTGGTAGGGGGAGTGTATATTTGTAGATATGGTGTCAATCAAGTGGGCTGCTTTGCCCTAGATGGGTGTTTGAAGTCAACTTCAGATTTTACTAATGACGCCCGTCAAGAACCTGAATTGGCTGGACAGCTGGTTTACGATGCAGAGTAACAACAACAGCATGGGTTCCATTCCCACACTGGCTGAAGCTACCATGAAGGATCCTCCTCAACCTCTCCCCTCATCTGAGATGTTGTTAAATCACCACCAGTCATCTTGCTCTAGAGAGAGCAGTCCTATGATTCAGTAGAACTACACTAACTTTACCTTTACCTTGATGGAAATGGAATTAAGCAAACAATTGACCTCCTAAAGCAATGCTTTACATCTTTGAACACTTAAGAGGATTTTTTGTAAAAAACGTATGTTTTTATTATTCTGTATTTTTTATTGTGGTATGAAATGGGAAAATTACTGGTTTTCAAATCAAGGATTGTGGAAAGGATTTATGCATTTTCTAAAAGCAAATTACCTGACATTGATTGTAAGTGCTATTTACACTGCTGCTTGTTCAATTTGTATTGGGGAGGTGGTGGGCTAATGGTATTATCACTAGACTCCAGAAACTCAGCAAACATTCTGGGGAACTGGGTTTGAATCCTGCCATGGATTATTGAATTCAATAAATAAAAAAAAAAACTACTGATGACCATGAAACCATTGCCAATTGTCGGAAAATGCATTTGGCTTACTTCAGAGAAGGAAATCTGCCATCCTCACCTGGTCTAGCCTGTTATGTGGTTGACTCTCAGCTGCACTCTGAAATGGCCTAGCAAGCCATTCAGGTCAAGGGCAATTAGGGACAACCAATAAATGCTGGCCAGCCACTGACGCCCTCGTCCCAAAAGAGAATTAAAAGAATGTGATGAAGGTTATTGTGGAGGAGCTGAAGATGTGTATGAAGGGAGATTTTGCTGGCAACAAATAGCTGATTGGGCTGTGGAATGGTGACTCTCACCTAATAAGAGCCACGTCATCTAGACTCAAATCATTAGCCTGCTCTCTCTCTGCAGATGCTGCTTGATCTGCTAAGTTTTCCAGCACTTTTTGTTTCCACCATGTCTGTTTGTATGTGTGTAGGAGACATTTTATAAGTTTTAACTAGTAGTTTTTATGTTGTTGATTCATAGTTATTTACCTGTAGCGAGAATCTAGTTATTTATGACAAATAATAATTCCTATTCAGTTCTGAAACTTAATCTGTGCTTTCTGTCAAACTGGGTCTAAAATTCAAGGTATTTTACATGTTTTTATAAAATCATTACTTTAGTGATGACTCCAGGTGTAGCAGAGCTTAATTTCCAGTCTGCGACCCCAGTGAAGTGTAACACTTTGCAAAACAGCCTTAAGCAGGTAGCTGGATTTGTGTTTATTTCTTGTTTGTTCCATGACTTGCTCATCATGAAGTACCAGCCCTTCCTATCATATGTGCATTAGGAATACAGCTGTAGGAGTCACTGACCACCAGTATCCCTAGTTACTAGTGCAGTCAGAGAGCAGCATATTAAAAAGCAGTCACATGAACATTTTGTCCTGTTTCACAGTCTTTAGTGGTTGTCTTCCTTCTATCCAGTCTTCACTGCAAATTCAA